TTTGTCAGATCAACACAAAAGGCAATCCATTTCCCAAAGCAGGACTTACTTCCCTTAAAGCATTATCTAACCAGAGCTCAAAAAACCATGCCTGCCCTGCTAGGTGCTCCCAGAGTGGATATCTGTAGAGGAGCCCCAGGAAGCTCGGTAGATGCTTTCACGCAGTGCAGTCCGCTTATACACTGTCCATCGCTGCTGAGAGGCTTTTGCAAGAAGCTCCAGCTGGTGTGTGTTCTCCATGAATGGCCACACCGACTGCATCTCTTATACTTTGGTAGCCGGTGTCTTGTACGTATCCCCAGCACTTCTGCTCCCAGAGGGAGAGCTCACATGGGGCGGGCTGAGAGAAACAGAGAGATGTGGTCCAGCCCGTGGCACCGTGGAGGAGAGCGAGGGTGGAGCACCTCAAGAGTGAGGACCCAAAGGGTGAAGGCTCTCCAACTCAACCATGCCAGCACCAATAAAATAAACAGTATTCACTACACAGCAAAACATCTCCTCACTCTGTAGTACTCCACTAAGCTTTTACAGGTTGGGGTTTTTTTTCAAAGTGAGTTGGTTATTCAAGGATCTTCATTTTCCCCAAGATGTTTTCAGCAGACCAGAAATGCTGATGCAGCCAGGCAGCAAATTAAATTCAGAGCTGAAGTTGGCGCTCTTGGTGACCAATCTTAGTCTTTTGCCAAGGCTTGTAGCAGCATCCAGCATCAAATAGGTCTCCTGGACTGCAAGTTGGGCTCTGGCCGTGGCTTCTCCACCAGCTGCACGAGTGAAACAGCTAAAAAATACAGCAAGTGTTGCCTGCGCAGCGCTCCGGTGGCACGTGCAATCCCCTCCAGCCTACTTTGGGTACAGCTTGAAGTTCCAGTTTTCTCTAATAAGACAGTGATTGTTTTGGTCTGGAGAGCTGCTGGTCTGGTTTTGTGTTGTTTCATTTTTTTAGATTGCGTTGAATGTATCAGGGTCTCATTGTAAGAAAGTTTCAGTCATCATTGTAAAGCAAAAGAATTAGAAATTACCTAGCTATGGTAGATTTCAGATGACATTATTTCTAAAAAAGAAACGTACTTGGCCTTCATCGTAGGAGGATGGGTTTCTCTGGTAGGCTCTGTAGGCTGAGCAATACTTGTCAGTAAACTCAAAGGTGGCAGAGGCCCAGCTCGTGGCCTCCAATTCAGCATCCTGGAGCCATAATTTGGAACTCCTGGGCTTTGGGGATCACAGAATGGCTTAGGTTGGAAGGGACCTTGAAGATCATCCAGTTCCAACCCCCCTGCCATGGGCAGGGACACCTCCCACTAGACCAGGTTGCTCAAAGCCCCGTCCAGCCTGGCCTTGAACACCTCCAGAGATCGATGGAGCGTCCACAGCTGCTCTGGGCAATTTGTGCCGGGCCCAAGGCTTTTCTGCCAACCTCGTACCAATGGGTAGGACAGTTGCTCTTGAATTAGAGACCCTAGAGGGCCTGGATCGTTAGAGCAGGGGGGCTGTGGGACGTCCTCATGGGATTCAGCAAAAAGCTGTCAAATGCAGAACTTCTGTTGCTTGCTGCAGTTAGCGATGAACGCTATGAATGGTCGCGGTTGTGAGATGAAGAGGAAATGTCCGCAGAGGTCCACTTTGATGACTGTCCCCTTCTTGTGGCTCTCTTCTTTCCGCAGGTTGCATCTCCAACGGACACAAGCAATTTTGACAGCTTCCCGGAGGACAGTGATGAGCCACCCCCTGACGACAACTCAGGATGGGACATAGATTTTTAATGTATTTCTCTTACCTGCTTCTGCCTTGCTGAAGACAGCTTCCTGGGACATGGCTGCCAGCGAAACCGAAAGAACTGGGGAGGATTAGTGCTCGGGGTCACCATGATGCCTTGATTGATGCTGCTACAGTAACTACAGTGGCATTAGGACTTATTGCTTAGATGACAATAGTGCTCTTCATGTTTTATGTTCGAACTTAAAATAGCAGTTGACATGGTGGTCCTGACGCAAAGCCTTTCACCAGTGAAGAGATAATGTTTTCTATCACTGCGACGATCTTGCTGCGCTCTTAATTATAAAAAGTCAAGAGATACGTAGTGTAAGACACACTTAATTCTAGCTGCAAGGTACTGGCTTTATCAGTAGGATCAATAGTAATTTATTAAGTGCTGTAGCCAAATACAGTGCAGGATTTGGGCTCTTCCCACCCTCCAAACTCTGTAGGTCTTCTGCTGTAGGCCAGTGTAGGAGCAAAGGAGGACCACAACGGTACTGGTCAAAGAGTTCATGTCAAAGCAGTGGTAAAATTTGTCCTTTCTCTTTCCGAGCGGTATTCTTGACAAGACTGAATGTTACCTTTCCTCTTTCTTTCTGAGACTTTCTTATTTTTCTTTTTAGCCTGGTAAAACAAAAGCACAACTGCTCTAGATCCTGTTAAGGCAGATAATGGGTCGCTTCTCTCATACAGCTGAGAACATACTGTAACACGACATTTGGGGTTTGGTTGTTTTGTTTTTTTCCTTTCCCTTGGTACAAATACATAACTGCATGACAAAAAAAAAAAAATCATAAACTTAATCCATTTTACATATAAAATAGTGCTTAAATAATGGTCCTGTAATAAAGCGACAGCAGCCCACTGGTCTTACTGATTAGCTATTAGGCATAAAACTAAGCTTAACTTTTACCTTTTTACAACCCAAAGGGAAAATACAAGACCCATAATGTACTTTAGAGGTGCTATGTACATCCTTCGTCTGTGAATATAAATTGAGTCGACCACCATTTCAGAAATATGTAGCAAGAGGCATCGTTCTCCATCATGCTCTTAGATGGTTTTATGTCTCCATGTCTGCATCTCCTCCGTGTTTAGTACAAAGCCGATTAAAGGTGGTACAGGGCCAGTTTGCTGGCTCCGTTTGTAATGTTGCCCGTAAAAATGTAATCCTAACGCCTCACCAGAGCTCCACAGGGAAGTCAGTGGAATTAAGTGGAAAACCCGATATCGGATGTGTTTGTGCGAGGTCTCCGTGTCCCCGGTGTACCAGGTCCCCAGTGACGGTGTTTAAAGCGCGGGGACGGCTACAGCCAAAGTCAGCTCGTATGAAAAAAAGAGCTGGGGAAAACAATACTGCCGTCCGTACACTTTTCCCTCGCTTCCACTGCTTTTCCTTCCCTTTGCTGCAGTCCACTCAGATTTGTAGGATGTAACGGGGGAATCCTGTCCTGGATGCCTGCTTGTTGCGTGTGCGTGACACAAGACACAACAATTTTGGGGGGAGCCAACCCGAAAACATGATGAGGAGAAGGTGTTAAAATGGAAGGTTATCCGCTTTCAGTCTCTTGAACAGACCCTTGCCCCAAAAAATTAGCAGATGCTGCCCCTTTGCATCTCAGAGCTGCCGAGAGCTGTTGTAATACGCTGGAAGTCGGAAGATCAACTTTGGCTGAGAAGTTATTCATATGACTTTTGCCTACATAGTACGTGTAAAATGTATCTTTTAACAGTCACAAAATTAGTTTCCCCATGCTAGATCCCAGCTCTTCCCCATGTTCCTAATGAAAAAGACTTAACAGAGCATATAAAAAAGGTCTTTTCTCCCCTTCTTCGATGGCATTGACGACATCTGCTGTTTGCCAGCGAACTGAAGAGCTCGGTCATCGCGGCGCCTTTGAAAGGGGTCTGTGTCGCTGAATTGATGCCATCGGCACGGGAGCTAAAGGTTATTTCCACTATTCACGAATCATTAAAACTTTGTTTGCCGTCAAAACCGTAGGGAAAAGACAGTAACTATGTGTCCTACTTATGGGAATTACTGGTAGAGGGCGAGTACGCGCTTGCGTTTCACCCTTGCTCCCATGGAAGATGCTGAAAGCCAACGCGGAGTATGAGGGCTGAAGTAATCACGAGGCATCTTGGCAAACGGGCTGCTGCCTAAAAGCCCAGTTCTTTACTTGCATTGCCCTGGTTTTTCACTCGACAACACAGCGACACCGGCAGACAAAAACTCGTTGCATTTGGTAACTTTCCATAGAAGAACATAGAGAGGAGTTTGTCCCAAAATGGTGACATTCAATAGCTGAGATGCGATTGTCAGTCAAGGGGTTGCCGGGAGGAAAGACGCAACAATTTTGGGGGGAGCCAACCCGAAAACATGATGAGGAGAAGGTATTAAAATGGGCTGATGAGTTGTTTTTCTTTTTCCTATCCCTTTTTTCCCTTGTGCCGCACGCGGTAGTCAATACCCGCAGCGTGCGGCACGCACTGTACCGAACAGAAGTTTATTTTGGCATCAAACACCTCACTCGACTCGACTCACATCACCTTTCCTAAGCCTCCTTTCAACACCATACTTAGCGTATGTATATGATAAACGCCTTCATTTATAAGTAATATATTTGAGTTGCATTATATATATATATATATATATATGTATTTACAACAACGTATTGCCTCTGTGTTTCCACTTAGTGTTCTTTCTTCTTTGTCTCCTTGGGTTTTTTTTTTAATATACGGGACGGCAGCGTATTTGCGTAAGGGGAAGTCGACCTCCCGTCTTTAAAGCCGAGCGTATTAAGATCGGTGTCGTTAAGGCGCAGACGATCCGTAGCTTCTCACAGTGCTGCATTACCCATAGCAAACTCTTATTTAAACAACAGGACCACAAGCGAGTATTTATGTAAATAGGTATTTTCGTGTTGATATTTTGTGGTACGCATATAACTTTTTCTTTTAGAGTTCCATGGCATTATTACTTCATCCTCTTATTTGTAATGTAATGTTTTTAGGTCCAGGTAGACTTGAATTAATGTCATAATTGTCAGTATTATTGAACTTTATGTCAACTGTACTGTTAACTCATCTGTCCCATAGTTTTAGAACACGACTAGCTGTCTGGCATTGTTGCAAGTGCCTTAAATCCATGGCATCCTAATAAAAAAAAAAAAAAAAACAACAACAAAAAAAAACCACAACAAAAAATATTACAAATTTGGTGTTATGCTGCATGACAAAGACAAACACACCTCAAAATGTCGTCCTTTCTTAGCTTGCTGCGTTTTACAGTTCTTTCTGCTACCGATTTCTAAGCCTTTATTATATAATATTGATGAATTACAGAAATGATGAAGTCGTTCTCTTATTTCTGTTCAATGTACCAGAGCTGTGTATCCGTTAATGAGATACAGAGTCATTTCTGTGAAATGTATAAATGTTACGTGCGGGTCAAATAACTCTATGACATCCTATCAGTCCGTAGACAGGTATTCCTGTTTCGCTCAGCCGTGCAGATCCAACCCATCGTGCCGTCCAGCGCCGACCTCCCCGTCTTACACAAATCCCACTCGGTGTGCAACCCGACCTGCCTTTTATTTTTTTGACCCAAACCCACCACACCCCCCCGATGTAAAGGCGTAACTCGTTTGCACCACTCATTAAAACAAGATCCGGGCTTTTCCCACCCCCCCCACCCCTCTCCGCTCCCCGACCCACCGCGGAGCTGAGCTGGAAAGCTGGAAGCTCCTCGTCCTCCCCGGCGGCCGCCACCAGCCCTAACGCTGAGACTTGAGGCGGTTTTGGGGCTTTACCGGCAAAAGGATGGGGGGATTTTCATTTGGAGTTGCCCATCGTCCCCAGTCCCAGTTGACGCTGTTTTTACACTTTGCCCTTCATTTTATATTCTCGTTTTCTCCAGTTTTCTTCTTAACGTGAAAAGAGGTTTTGTTTGTCGGACGAATGTCGGTCATCCGCCGGTCATCGGCCGGTTGCACTCTTTTGGTGTAAGTTTAAGAACTTTGTTTTTCATACACTTTAACTGCTTTTGTTTCGCTCTGTATTTTCCCTGCAGCTGTAATTGCCGAGTGCCTGTTGTATACTTTATAGAGTTGAAATAAAAATAATTACTTTTGAACGGCGTGTCGGGGGCTTCCTTCCGCAGCAGAAGCCGAGTTTGGGAGAGTTCTGCTCAGTGACTAAATTGGGGGGTTTTTTTATTCTTGTTTGCGACGATACGCAGTAAAAGACAACAACATGTTAAGAGATTACTTAACGTTACTTAAGAGATTACTACTGGGATGGAGATTTTCTGCAGGACCCAAAGGCCATAGTTACTGCAGTTTAATGCTTATTTGAGCGCCCACGTCACCCCGCGCAGCCTGGCCGAAGGGGTCCGAGGCCGATGAGGGTCCTGTTCAAGCAGGGTTGGCCAACTCACTTCCAACCCCATCATTCCCCGAGAGTGTCGGGAGCATGCGGCTGGAAAGGGACCGTGTTTCCAACGCAAGCTGCGTCATCCCTAGATGGGATGTGACTACCAACCACGTGGGGAGCGATGCTCTCCGTATCGTCACTGTCCCTTAGGGTGAACGCCAAGAGGTGGTGGCACAGAGGCACAGCCGTTAACGGCAGCACAGCCACGGGATGTCCTGAAGACGTGTAGGGTGAAGGATGAAAGAATGATGAAGAAAAGTAGGATGGCACCTACATGTCGCAGTGTTCGGGGTGCAAATAGGTAGATTTAAATCCTGATAGATTTAAATCCATCCCTGGGGTAACTGCTCAGCCCCCGGTGTGACCTGTCTTTCAATCTCAGTGCAGTCAAGGTGTACTTCAGGGCTATGTAGACACGAGTAAAAAACTGGGAACAGGAGCAGGAAAACGTCCCTCCAGGAGGGAAAAAAAAATTGAGAACTGCCCAAGCAGGAGGCGGGAAACATCACAAAAGGATTCGGTGGGATGCAGCAATCACGGGTCCTAGTTAATCATACAACACAAAGCCCGGCATGACACCGCCCTCACCTGAAACTGCATGGGGAACGTGGGGATTTGGGGAGAAGGTGTGGCCCTCATTCTTTTGTGGGCTAAAAATAGCAAAGCCGGGGCTGCGCACCGGCCACTGACTCAGCCGAACCAACTTCCCCCAGCGCATGCCTGCGGCGCTCGCCAAAACTTCCCCAGCCAATTATTAGCCGGGCT